TATATATATATATATATATATATATATACATATATATATATATATATATATATATATATATATATATATATATATATACTCATTTACATATTACATTAAGTGACATATAACGTGTGTGTGTGTGTGTGTGTGTGTGTGTGTGTGTGTGTGTGTATGTGTGTATGTGTGTGTCAGACTTTTGAAAGCACTGTGATGTCAGCCCTAGGTGGCACTCAGTCAGGAGTGCCTGAGGTGTGACTCTCGTGACCTCTTCCCCACCTGACACGTGGTTAGTCTCACCTTACTAGGGTCATCTGGGTGACCTCCCTCTCTCTCTCTCTAACCATCACCCCTCTCCTTCCCTCCCCCAGCTAGCGTCCATCACTCACCTAACCTACCCATCATCTATCTACCCTACCCCCCCCTCCTTTTCCCATCCCTTCCTTCTCCCCTCTCCTCCTTCCCCATCCCTCCCTTCACCTGTACCCTTAACAATCCCCTCCTCCCTTCCCTCACCCTTCCTCCTCCCTCCCCTACGCCCCCTCCCACCTGTGTGTCAAGTCCAAGCATCTCACCCCCCACTGACCCAAGCGTGACCCCCCAGTGACCAGGATAGACCCTTGCACGCGATCACTTTGACCTCACGAGCGCCATCTGGCCAGTTAACCTCAATTCTCAAACAGATCGTAAGTTAAATCACACACACACACACACACACACACACACACACACACACACACACACACACACACACATCGTAACTTAGGATTCTTATGCTTCATTCTTCTTCTGTTATCATCGTTTATCTCTCCTCCCCCTCCCTCTTCTCCTCTCCCTCCCTCCTTCTTCCTCTTCTCTTCCTCCACCTACTCTTTCATCACTTAATCCTCCTCCTCCTCCTCCTCTACTCCCGGTCGTGACTAGCGTGGCCTCGATCAGTGCCACACACACACACACACACACACACACACACACACACACACACACACACACACGTATATAAATGGATAGATAGATAGATAGATTAGAATCGAGTGCCAGGTAGGAGGTAGGGTAAGGGAGGGGAGGCTACACTGTAATCTGCTCAGCAATTTGTAAACCGTGGGAAACTGTTGAGTCAAAACGTGCATCTCCCCCCTTCCTCCTCACCTTCCCTCCTCCTCCCTCCTTCTGTTACTCCTTCCTCCCTCCTCTGTCGATTATCACCTCCCTCCCTCCCTCCCTCCCTCCTTCTCAATTACTACTTCCATTCCTTCTCTATTACCCCTCCTTCCTCTCTATTACCCCTCCTGCCCTCTCTATTACCCCTCCTACCCTCTCCATTACCCCTCCTTCCCTCTCCTACCCCTCCCCCTCTCTATTACCCCTCCTTCCCTCTCTGTACCCTCCTTCCCTCTCTATTCCCCTCATCCCTCTCCATTACCCCTCCCCTATTGATTACTCTGCTACCTGGTGTTAGGTCTCTCTATCTCCCACTCCTAAACCCCCTCACTTCTCCCCCACCCCCTCTCATCCTTCCTTCCACTACATCCGGGCTTAGACCCCTCCTCTCCCCCATGTAATTACCAGTCATTTAAACCCCAGTTAAACCAAATAAGTCCTATAACTAGACACTATAACTTATTCTATATAATCCTATAACTGTGTCATAATAATAATAATAATAATAATAATAATAATAATAATAATAACAATTAATAAAAATAATAATAATAAAAACAATAATAATAATAATTATAATGAGTGTATGTGTGGTATGTGTGTGTGTGTGGCCTGAGTGTGGTGTGTGTGTGTGTGTGTGTGTGGTGTGTGTGTGTGTGGAGTGTGTGGGGTGTGTGGTGTGTGTGTGTGTGGATAATAAAATAATAAAATAATAATGTGTAAAAATAAAAATAATGTGTGTGAGAGTGTGTATGTGTGTGTGTATGTGAAAGATGTGGGGTGTGTGTGTGATGTGGGGATGGATGAGAGAAGCAGTGAAGGGACTGACGGCAGATGGGCGCGTATGAGGGCAATAACCCACTCTAATTGGTCAACAGCAAACAAGACGCACAATGATCGCTCAATCACTCCACGTCATCACCCAGGAGACCAACCAATCACCTACACACACACACACACGAACAACCAATCAGCGCACGCCATACCCTCAACAGCGTGGATTCTGCAAAATATCCTTCCAGCCCTCTAGCAAATATACATGACCTCTAATTGCTCCTGTATCCTACGCCTATTGAGGGATGCTGAAGGGGGTGGATGTCGCAATGGGCGTGGGAGGATGTCGGTAGTGTGGGCGTGGGCGTACAGGTCCAGCACTCATACAGCTTCCTGTCATCTGAAAACAAACGTGATAGGCTGACCTGATGGGGTGGGGAGGTGGTGTGTGACCTGGGGAGGACCTGGTGGGTGGGGGTGACCTGATGGGTGGAGGTGACCTGGGGAGGGACCTGGTGGGTGGGGTGACCTGATGGGTGGAGGTGACCTGATGGGTGTGGGGTGACCTGGTGGGTGGGGTGACCTGATGGGTGGAGGGTGACCTGATGGGAGTGGGGGTGACATGGTAGGTGTGGGAGGACCTGATGGGTGGAGGGGTGACCTGATGGGTGTGGGGTGACCTGGTGGGTGGGGGTGACCTGATGGGCGGGGTGACCTGGTGGGTGTGGGGTGACCTGGTGGGTAGGGAGTGACCTGGTAGGTGTGGGGTGACCTGGTGGGTAGGAGTGACCTGGTGGGTGTGGGGTGACCTGGAGGGTGGAGTGATCTGATGGGTGTGGGGTGACCTGATGGGTGTGGGGTGACCTGGTGGGTGTGGGGTGACCTGGTGGAAGTGGCGTGACCTGATGGGTGTGGGGTGACCTGGTGGGTAGGAGTGACCTGATGGGTGAGAGGTGACCTGATGGGTGTGGGGGACCTGGTGGGTGAGGTGACCTGGTGGGTGGGGTGATCTGATGGGTGTGGGTGACCTGGTGGGTAGGAGTTCTGATGGGTGGGGGTGACCTGGTGGGTGGGGGTGACCTGATGGGTGGGGTGACCTGGTGGGTAGGGGTGACCTGATGGGTGAGAGGTGACCTGATAGGTGAGGGTGAACTGGTGGGTAGGGGTGACCCTGATGGACGGGGTGACCTGGTGGGTAGGGGTGACCTGAGGGTGAGGTGACCTGGTGGTAGGGAGTGACCTGATGGGTGAGGGTGACCTGGTGAGTAGGGGTGACCTGAGGTGAGGGGGAACTGGTGGGTAGGGGTGACCTGATGGGTGTGGGGTGACCTGGTGGGTGTGGCGTGACCTGATGGGTGTGGGGTAACCTGGTGGGTAGGGTGACCTGATGGGTGAGGGTGACCTGATGGGTGTGGGGTGACCTGGTGGGTGAGGTGACCTGGGTGTGGGATGACCTGATGGGTGAGGTGACCTGGTGGGTAGGGGTGACCTGGTGGGTAGGGGTGACCTGATGGGTGTTGGGTGACCTGGTGGGTAGGGGTGACCTGATGGGTGTGGGGTGACCTGGTGGGTGTGGGATGACCTGATGGGTGGAAGGTGACCTGATGGGTGTGGGGTGACCTGATGGGTAGGAGGACCTGGTGGGTGAGGGTGACCTGGTGGGTGAGGGTGACCTGGTGGGTGTGGGATGACCTGATGGGTGGAGGGTGACCTGATGGGTGGGAGATGATCTGATAGGTGGGGTGGCCTGGTGAGTGATAGGGTGACCTGGAGTGTGTATGAATGACCTGAAATGAATAAATGACCTATAAATGACCTGTAAATAGCATGAACCTAATCAACTACGTTTCAAATTCCAAAAAATAATCGACAACACTTCTACATAAGTTCTACAATATTACATACATACATACATACATACATACATACATACATACATACATAACATACATACATACCACAACACCCAATCACAACCAGTTACGATCAATCACACACACACAGGTAAGCACAGGTAATCACATCTCAACGCAGTAACGACAATGTGATTGATGATAGCAACTACTTAGCACAACCCTTTCATTGATACCTGAGGCAATCACCTTTCATCCCACCTATAACATAACACCGACGTAATTATCACCTGTAATGCTTTAAATTATATAAGAGTGGTTATATAAACCAGTTCATATCTCGTACTAAAATAACATAGAGTTTTGTTAAAGATGGTGGTGTTTTTTTTTTTTGGGGATTAATACGTAATGTAATTCTCACCTGTAATTAGCATACAATACACCTGCAGTTTTGTTGTAAATGACTTTGTTCTTTATTCAGTATCTTTGTGCATGTCTGGGATGGAGTTATTGTTATTGTGATGAAGTTAGTGCTGTTGTTATTATTGTTATTATTGTGATGGAGTTAATGTTGTTATTATTGTTATTGTGATGAAGTTAAAGTTATTGTTATTATTGTTATTATTATTATTATTAGATCATTTATATGTATATATCTCTCTCTCTCTCTCTCTCTCACAAAAATAACCCACAAAATCCAATTTCCTTTTAAAATAGGAAGCGACCTATTAGCTAATCACCTCAATAGAAGGACCTTACCGCCCTATTACGACCCATTAGCCTTAAATAGGAAGGTGTAATGGGGCCGAAACACTTTGTTCCCGTATTATACCTATTTAAAATCCCTAGACCCTATTACGTCATAGATCATAGGCTTACGACACGGGTAAATAAGGTCGTTTTACCGTGATCCCGAGTTTTGATTGAGAGTTAGAAGGTAATATGTCCACAGGGAAGATAAATTAGACTATAGCTCTTATGATTGGTATATATAAGGACGTCATTCCTTTAATTAAATGTTATTGTAGTATATTAGTGAATATATACCTTATGTTGCGTGTATATTAGATTGAATCAGGATATAAATATTATACATACGCGCGTTTTATACTGTAACTTAAGAACCTAACCTAACCTAACCAAATTTACGATTATTTAAGAACAGGGGTAGGGATCCTACACCAAGGGAAGTATCCTACACCAAGGTATCCTCAAAAAGTATCCTACACCAAGGGAAGTATCCTACACCAAAGTATCCTACACCAAGGGAAGTATCCTACACCAAGGGAAGTATCCTACACCAAAGTATCCTACACCAGAAAGTATCCTACACCAAGGGAAGTATCCTACACCAAGGGAAGTATCCTACACCAAGGGAAGTATCCTACACCAGGGAAAGTATCCTACACCAAGGGAAGTATCCTACACCAAGGGAAGCATCCTACACCAAGGGAAGTATCCTACACCAAGGGAAGTATCCTACACCAAGGGAAGTATCCTACACCAAGGAAGTATCCTACACCAGAAGTATCCTACACCAGGAAATGTCCCTACACCAGAAGTATCCTACACCAGGAAAGTATCCTACACAAGGGAAGTATCCTACACCAGGAAAGTATCCTACACCAGGAAGTATCCACCAAGGGAAGTATCCTACACCAGGAAAGTATCCCACAAGGGAAGTATCCTACACCAAGAGTATCCTACACCAAGGGAAGTATCCTACCACAGGGGAAGTATCCTACACCAAGGGAAAGTATCCTACACCAAGGAAGTATCCTACACCAAAGGGAAGTATCCTACACCAGGAAGTATCTACACCAAGGAAGTATCCTCACACCAAGGGAAGTATCCTACACCAAGGAAGTATCCTACACCAAGGAAGTATCCTACACCAGGAAGTATCCTACACCAAGTATCCCACACCAAGGGAAGTATCCTACACCAAAGGAAGTATCCTACACCAAGTATCCTACACCAAAGTATCCTACACCAAAGTATCCTACACCAAGGAAGTATCCTACACCAAAGTATCCTACACCAAAGTATATCCTACACCAGAAGTATCCTACACCAGGAAGTATCCTACACCAAAGGAAGTATCTACACCAGGAAAGTATCCTACCAAGGAAGTATCCTACACCAGGGAAGTATCCAACAAAGGAAGTATCTACACCAAGGAAGCATCCTACACCAAGGAAGTATCCTACACCAAGGAAGTATCCTACACCAGGAAGTATCCTACACCAAGGAAGTATCCTACACCAAAGGAAGTATCTTACACTAAGGTAAGTATCCTACACCAAAGTATCCTACACCAAAGTATCCCACCAGAAGTATCCTACACCAAAGTATCCTACACTAAAAGTATCCTACTAAGAAGTATCACCACAGTATCCTACACCAAGGGAAGCATCCTACACCAAAGTATCCTACACCAGAAGTATCCCCAAAGCATCCTACACCAAGAGTATCCTACACTAAGGGAAGTATCCTACACTAGAAGTATCCTACACCAAAGGTATCCTACACCAAGGAAGTATCTACACCAAGGGAAGTATCCTACACCAGGAAGTATCCTACACAGAGTATCCTACACCAAGGAAGTATCCTACACCAGAAGTATCTTACACTAAGTAAGTATCCTACACAAGGGAAGTATCTACACCAAGGAAGTATCACACCAGGGAAGTATCCTACACCAAGGAAGTATCCTACACTAAGTATCCTACACTAAGGAAGTATCCTACACCAGGAAGTATCCTACACCAAGGAAGCATCCTACACCAAGGGAAGTATCCTACACCAGAAGTATCCTACACCCAAGGGAAGCATCCTACCAAGGAAGTATCCTACACTAAGGAAGTATCCTACACTAAAGTATCCTACACCAAGGAAGTATCCTACACCAAAGATATCCTACACTAAGGGAAGTATCCTACACCAAAGGAAGCATCCTACACAAGGAAGTATCCTACACCGAAGTATCTACACTAAGGAAGCATCCTCACACCAAGGAAGTATCCTACACAAAGTATCCTACACCAAAGGGAAGTATCCTACACCAAGGGAAGTATCCTACCAAGGGAAGCATCCTACACCAGAAGTATCCTGCAAAGTATCCTACACCAGGGAAGTATCCTACACCAAGGGAAGCATCCTACACCAGGGAAGCATCCTACACCCAGGAAGTATCCTACACCAAGGGAAGTATCCTACACCAAGGAAGTATCTACACTAAGGAAGTATCCCACACCAAGGGAAGCATCCTACACCAAGGAAGTATCCTACACCAGAAGTATCACCACCAAGGAAGCATCCTACACCAAGGAAGTATCCTACACCAAGGGAAGTATCCTACACCAAGAAGTATCTACACCAAGAAGTATCTACACTAAGGAAGTATCCTACACTAAGGGAAGTATCCTACACCAAGGGAAGTATCCTACACCAGAGTATCCTACACCAAGGGAAGCATCTACACCAGGAAGTATCCTACACCAAGGGGTATCACACCAGAAGTATCCTACACCAAGGGAAGTATCCTACACTAAGGGAAGTATCCCAGAGAAGTATCCTACACACCAAAGTATCCCACAAAATATCCTTCACGTCAGGTAATGTTCCCAGGCAGATCCTACGTGAGACTCTCCCAACTTAGGATTAGGAAGGCTGGAATGTGTCCCAAGGAGCGTGGGCCTGGGATTATGGGGGGGAGGAGGGGGGTGGTTGGGGAGGGTGAGGTGGATGAGGAGGAGGAGGTTGGAGGGGTTGGGGTGATAGGCGTGAGGTGGGTTAGGAGTTGAAGTAGGGTGGGGTGAGAGGTTAAGGTAAGGTGAGGTAAGGGGTGAGGTAAGGGGTGGGGGTGAGGGGGAGGTGAAGTGGGTGAGGGATGAGGAGGGTGAGAGTTGAGGTGTTGGGTTGAGGGATAAGGTAGAATATGGGGTGTTAGGTATGAGGTTGGTAGACACACAGACACACAGACGGACACACAGTATATATATCCCCAGGTAATCGTTAATTAATGGAGACACATTACCTGGTGGCTGTTACCTGTGTGTGCCAGACTTACCTGTGGGGGAGAGAGGAGGAGTTAACACGTAATATTAACATGTGTTCAATAATTAACATGTGTTCAATTATTAACAGGTGGTCAATAATTAACAGGTGTTCAATAATTAATAGGTTTAATAATTAACAGGTGTTTAATAATTAATAGGTGATAAGTAATTAACAGGTGTTCAATAATTAATATGTGTTTAATAATTAATAGGTGATCAATAATTAACAGGTGTTCAATAATCAACAGGTGTTCAATAATTAACAGGTGTTCAATAATTAACAGGTGTTCAATAATTAAAAGGGGTCCAATAATTACCAGATGTTCTCCAATCGTCTTACTAACAAAAATATGTTCTGGTTATATTCAACACTGCGAGAACCTAATAACGCACATGTTATTAAATGCGTAAAGTTGCGTTATTGAAGCTGTATTGTGTTATCAATGCGTATGAGAGGAGTTATTAGTTCGTATTACATGCGTTATATACTGTACAGTACATACACACAACATGCTCGCCTCACAAGCGAGCGGACCCGGGTTCGATCCCCGGCCAGGGTGAAACTAGGGGCAAATTTCGTTACGCCATTTGCCTCTGTCTACCCAGCAGTAATTGGGGACCTGGATGTTAATCGATTTGTGGATCGTGTTCCAGGGTAATGGTCAGCCAGTGCAGTTGGCGAGTTGTCCGGTGTTCTGATTCCTTAACACTGGGTCATGCAGCTCGTTATCTTAGGCCGAGGTGTGGTTGTTGTGTTGGCGACAGCTTCTACACCTTAAACAAGGGGAGGAGAATGGCACGCTAGGATTGGCTGCGGTGTTTTACTTATTAGCCAATCGGGGAGCGTTATCTGATTAGCGAATCGGAGAGATGGAATGATTAGATGACTTGGGTTTAATTAATGCCTCTGATTACATACATACATACATACATACATACTGTACAATACATACATACATACATACATACTGTACATACATACATACATACATACATACTGTACATACATACATAGATACATACATACATACGGACAAGACAGACAGACACAGACAGACAGACACAGACAGACAGACAGACAGACAGACAGACAGGCGCCAACGAAGAGATAAAAGAGCTACGTTGACAGCAAGTAACCCTCAACAGCTTAGAGGTGCCGCCAATAAGGTAATTAATGGCGCCACCAGTTACAGGGTAAAGAAAACGGGGTATGAGGCCGGACGGAAGTAGGGGGTGCCATCTAGTGCCACCTCCCAGTGCCAACTAGTAGTGCCATCTGCCGTTGATGTTGTTGTTGTTGTTGTTGTTGTTGTTGTTGTTGTTGTTGAGGTGTTGTTGTTGTTGTTGGTGTTGTTGTTGTTGTTGTTGTTGTTGTTGTTGTTGTTGTTGTATTATCTATTTTCTATTATTTTTTCCAGGATAATAACACTTCGACCTAATTTCCATCTATTTAAGTAATTTCTAAGTCTATATGGATGCTGGGCTAGTGTTTTGAAGGCTGGATTGTCGACTTTATATTCCCTCTAACACCCCGTGTGGGTTTATTGCCTTCTTGCCCCGAGATTTAGACGCGAATGAATGAATGAAGGTTAAATTTAACTCTATGGAGGTGTTGAGGGCTAGAGGGATCTATGTGGAGTGTCTCTGGGTGTATGGGAATTTAGTTCTTCAGGTATGGTAGTGGTAAGGGTGATTTTTGTAAAAGGGGTGTTTGTGTTAAGGGTGGAGGATAGGGTGTGTGTGTGTGTGTGTGTGTGTGTGTGTGTGTGTGTGTGTCCCCTTTCCTCCTCCCCAACATCAAAGGGTTGAAAATTACTCTTCCTCTCCCCCCTACTCCCACTCTTCTCTCCCCACCCTCTTCCCTCTTCGTTCCTTCTTCACCTACTCATCTTCCTCCACCCTCCTCTCCTCCCTTACTCCTCCCAACTCCCTCTCACCTTTCCTCCCTCCCCTATACCTCTTCTTTTCTCCTTCCTCCTCAAATTCCAATTCCCTACCCCTTTCTGTGCTCCTCCTTTCTTCTTTCTCCCCCTCTATCTCCTCCCTCCCACTCTACTCCACCCCCCCAACATGCGACAAAACAGCGTTATGTTTGCGGAAGACTATTAATATTTACCTTGGCCTTCCTCTGACCCGCCAGGCCAGACAAACACACACACACTGACTACCATACACACACACACACACACACACACACACATACACACCTACACACACTGACTAATATACACACACACACCTACACACACTGACTAATATACACACAGACATACTGTACACACCTACACACGAGGGTGGCCGGCCCTAGGGCCATCTAGGCGTGAATTTGTTTAAGGTGTAGAAGCAGTCACCAACACAACAACCACACCCTAAGTTAACGAGCTGCATGACCCAGTGTTAAGGAATCAGAAGACCGGACAACTCGCCAACTGCACTGGCTGACCATTACCCCGGAACACGATCCGCAAATCGATTAACATCCAGGTCCCCAATTACTGCTGGGTAGACAGAGGCAAATGGCGTAACGAAATTTGTCCATAGTTTCACCGGGTCCGCTCGCTTGCGAGGCGAGAATGCTGACCATTACACCACAGGTCGCCATGGTGACTGGATAATACACACACACACACACACACACACACACTGACTAACATACACATAGACACGCACACATACTGACTAATATAATCGTACACAGAAAGACAGACAGGCTAGACTGACTAATATACAGACAGACAGACAGACAGACATTTAAGGATTAAACACTTGAATATTAGTGAAAAATTAATACATTGGTAATAATATGAACTAAAAAAGACCAAATCAAACTGTATTGTTGTTATTATTACTATTATTATTATTATTATTGTTATTATTATTAATTAATCTGAGACTCTTATCTTTGTGTCGTAACTTAAGTTAATCAGTTAAGTGCCTCTCATTACCTCCAGTTAAGAGAAAATATTAACTTACCAACATATAAAAATCAAGTCAAAACATCACTTTAAAGGAAACCTAACCTAACCAATCTTTGAAAATCTTGGTTATTATCGTATCTTGAATCACCTAGTTAAGTGCGTCATTAGATCAGCAGTTAAGACGAAATATAATCTTACGAGCGTCTCAGAATCCATGTCCAAGGGCCTCAAAGGGTGTGACCGCCGTGTTAACCTGATCCTGTAAACTAACCCTTATCGTCGCCATCTTGAAAGGTTCTGAGCTTTTAGACTTTGTAGGGGGAGAGGGAGGGAGGGAGGGGAAGGGGAGGGGAAGGGGAGGAGGATTTATGATGCTGCTGAGGGTGGTCTAAATGTAGGGGAGGAGAGGAAGGGGAGGGAGAGGAGGGGAAGAAGGAGAGGAGGGGGAAGAAGGAGAGGAGGAGGAGGGAGAGGAGGGAAGCAGAGGAGGTGGGACCTTTCACGATCGTGTTAGGGGAGGTTCCAAAGGGAGGGAGTTAGAAGGAAGGGGGAGAGTACATGGGGAGAGGGAGGGCTAGGAAGGAGAGAAAGGGTTATGGAGGGAGACAGTATGGTTAGGAAGAAGGAAGGAAGGAAGGTTAAGGAAGGAAGGAAGGAAGGAAGGAAGGAAGGGAAGGAAGGAAGGAAGGTTAAAAGGCAAAAGTTTAAAAAGGAACCAAGAAATAAAAACTAAAAAATCTTTTAAATTAAAATTAAAATTTTAAAAAAATGAAAATTAATGCTTAAATGAAATGAATAAAATTTAAAAAGGGTAAGTTTAAATGAAAATGCAAAATGAAAGTTTGGTAATTAAAATGTCGAAAAATATGTTTAAATGAAATGAATGAAATGAAAGACAAAAATGTTAAAATGAACCAAGTCGTTTAAAGAAGGAATGAAGGAAAATTTTAAAATGAAATGAACCAAGGCTAAAAAATGAATAAATGAACCAAGACGAATTGCTTAAAAGCAAGTGAAGGAACCAATGATGTTTAAAGGAAAAGGAAACGAAGGTTAAAAAGGAAGAGTAAGCAATTTGTTGAAAGGAATGAAATAAGGATGGTTAAAGGAAAGGAAGGAGGTTGTGCAAAGGAAGGAAGGAAGAAGAAGGAAGGAAGGAAGCGAAGGAAGGAAGGAAGGAAGGAATAAATGAAGGAAGGAAGGAAGGAAGGAAGGATGAAGAAGGAAGGAAGAAGGAATGAAGGTTAAAGGAAGAAAGGAAGGAAGGAAGCGAAGATGGTTAAAGGAAGGAAGGTTAAAGAAAGGAAGGAAGGAACGAAGGTTGAAGGAAGAAGGAAGGAAGGAAGGTTAAATAAAGGAAGGAAGGAAGGAAGGAAAATGGTTAAAGGAAGGAAGGTTAAAGAAAGGGAAGGAAGGAACAAAGGTTAAAGGAAGGAAGGAAGGAAGGTTAAAGGAAGGAAGGAAGGAAGGAAGGAAGAAGGAAGGGAAGGAACGAAGTTAAAGGAAGGAAAGAAGGTTAAATGAAGGAAAGAAGGAAGATGGTTAAAGGAAGGGAAGGAAGGATGGAAAGGAAGGAAAGGAAGGAAGCCAAAGGTAGGGAAGGAAGGAAGGAAAGGAAGGATAAAAAGAAGGCGTCAG